GGAAATGTGCCACTGATGACAGCGGTTACAGGACAGATGAACGTGCAGTAGCTAATAATTTAAAGCATGTACCCAAAAGCTTGCACAGATTGATAAACACTTGGGATGCCAATACCGTGAAGGGAAATTGAGAGTGTTTACCATCTTGCAGGGTCAGACCCATACATTTAGAATGTAAAGCTAGGTTTGTGATGTCTGCTTTGTCTGCATGCAGAAAGCAGAGAAAGCCAGAGGAAGTCCCAGTCTAACTCAGAGGATTCTTAAGGAGTTCACTCATATTTGTTGTTATGATAACAGAGCACCAAGGAAGAATACTATGATTTGAAGCAAAATATATACATCAACATGATGAAAGCATCAATGGGACCTCAGGGGCCAAAAGCTATGTATGTAAGTGTGAGAAGCTGCTGCAGGCATCTAAAGCTGATTTTACTCCTCTTTTTCCTGAGAAATAATTTATCCCATTTTCATCGTTTTGTGCAGCACAGAGCAGAATTACTCTTTGGCACACAACTCAGTCTGATTTCATAGCAGCATCTCAATGCTTTGGAAAGTAACATATAAACACTTGTCATGTTGGGACCATGGCTGCAAGCAACGTATTTAACCTGTCATTTGAAAGAGTGCAGTTTAAGCGGGTCCAGTTAAGATGATAATTTGTGTAGTGCAGACTGGACCTTACACCCTGCCTGGGACATTCAGCTGTATTATTGTGAGAGAGGCTGGCTAGGACGCAGGGGCTCTCCTTAGGGATCTGTCTTGAACCCAAAGAAGATATCATCTGATAGACAGTACTTCTAACAATATCCCAAGCTGTAATCATGCATGGGGCATGAGTTGAGTATGTGACAGGACTTGACAGAACTACAGAACATATTCTAAAATCCCATACAATGGCTCCAGGTGCACCACTTACAAAAGATAAATAGGCAGCATGGTTGGGAAACAGGCAGAGGAGCCCCAGGGGTGGATGGAGCAGCATATCAGAGGAGTGAGGGCATGGGAAGTGAAGAGTCAGCTGCCAGACTGCTTTTTGCTGCCAAGCTCAGAGATGGCACATCCACACAACCAAGCCCTTGTACTGCTAACTGAAAAAGCCTGGCTTCAGCCCACGAAATAAACTGGGGTCCCTTCTGGAAAGAATGGGTCCGTGAATTCTGAGTCATGGCTGAAGTCTGGGACATGGCTTCATGTGTCCCATGGATTTTATTCACTCTTACTCACTTTCATGTTCATTCTGACAATTTTCTGGCCAAGGAGCTTGAGGAGACCGGGATTCTTGGGGTGAGATAAAGTGATTAAGCTGCATACTCTACCTTTGGGACTAGAATCCAACATTTCCTTAGAGGTTAGGAAATGTGACTAGACACATCTTAGCTCTGTGCTAACAGTTCTGGCTACTGCTGCCGTGGAATGCCTGCAACAACAGGCAGCGCTTGTTGCCAGGTCACTTTTCATACTCTGTCCTGAAGATTTCAGGACTCCTTTGGGTTCTTCCCCATTTTCCTCCACATTTAGACTGGATAGCTTCCTCCATCTTGCACTCCCCTGTTCTCTCCAACCTCTGAGAGAGTGGATAGCCCACAGTCCCACCCTGGGTCTTGGAAACCTTCCTGTTGGTTTCACAGGCTGAGCCCACCCAGTTAAACTAAAAAGGATAGTTCAGTGCTCCCCAGTGAGTTTTGAACCTACATAATGCAGACTTAACAGCAGGTTGCCTTCTGTGCCATCTGGTAACACTGCACTCCAAAGATCTTATGTACAAAGGCTGGGTGGATACACAAGAAAAGATTGGGAGATGGGAAAAGCCTTTACTGGCCCTGGTAACAGATGCCCTCCTGCTGTCCATATAGCCCCTGGTTCAATGAGCTATAATCACAGAACAATTGTGCATGCATATTGGACCTGGGCCTGTTCCCTTTGAAGACAACAGCAGATCAGTGGGAACAGCAGCATTCCTGTAGTTACTCCGAAAACATCGCTGGACAGGGCAGTTAGTTACCTCTGTGAGGATCAGGCGTCGACACTTCAACTTCAGTATACTCCACCTCAGTAATCTCGTGCTCAGGTCCTGCCCCAAAGATAGCAAGAAGATGGTTCTTTGTAGCACTGCATACTCCATACTGGTTGTGGACCTGATCCTGCCACCAGTGAAAATCAACAGCCAATGCCCGTGGACTTTAATGGGCACAGGATCAGGTCCTGAGTTATTCTGGTGACTAAATCTGTTAGGATGATCCATAACTGGGCCCCAGCCCTCCGTGAGTGCAGGAGTTTGGTGCTAGTAGACTTCCTAAAACTGCATGACCTGGACAACACTGGGTCATGCCTGAAACACATGCCTGTTATTTGCAATCTGAAAAATGGCGCACTGCAAATGAGGATTTTCTGATAGTCCCCTGAGCGCATATTCCAGCTCCAACTATGGTCATGCTCGTTCTTGCTCTCCCACTCTCCCTCCCAGCTTCTTTCTTTCTCCCCCTCCCTTCATTACTTTCTCCTTGACCTCAGACATTGAAGCAAAAGTTCTCATCTGCTCTCCTCAGTGATCCAATGCTCTCTTGCTTCCACTTAGACCTCTTTCTGGTTCCTCATACCCAGGCTACCCCCAACACCCTCCCCTACCTACTGCCAGCCTCCCTTCTCTCTTTTATCCCTAAGCTCAATGAAAGGTCTCTACAACTACTGCCTTCTCCTCTGAGGTTTGTTTCTTCCTGTCCCACCCCAGACGCTGCACTCAACTAGAAATTTAGAAGACTTTAATAATCTTTTCTGAGGTCACAGTTCAAAGCCAGTAGTCTATCCTCCTCTTAACTACCGTCAACTATTCTCCGTGTTTGAAATCCTGTCTTCAGCTTTTGTGATTGCCTGATCCTGGTTCCCCACTAAACTCCCCAATCACTCCTTTAGTATTTCTTCAGAAGAGCCTCCTCATCCCCCCTCTGCTACCTTTTGTGAATCTCATTCACAGATCTGCTTTCCCACTGCAGGCTCATCCCCTTCTATGTGAGCTAAGATCTCTACCTATCTTTAGAACATCTCCTGATGGACATCCAACCATCAGCTTGTGATCAGCATAGTCAAATTAGATACTTAAGTTTTCTCCATAAACCAATAATCTCCAAACTGTGGTTTGTGGACCACTCACAGACATAATAATTAGTCTGAAGCCCAACCATCTACACCAGTGGTCTCTAACCTTTTAAGTCAGAGATCACGTTTGGAATTTAAAAGGAACCCAAGATCTACCCTGTGTGTTCTCCTGAGTAGAACAGAAACCACGCATCCAAGCCTTTAAATAAGCACTGAACCTTGCCAACTTCATCATCAGAAGCAAACTTCCTATGGCCCAAACCACACTGAATGGCTCCAGACCATGCTGGGGAAAAAATGTAGAACCTGCCAACACATCTCTACCACTCCCACAATAACTACACCCCACAAAAGAACTATCACCATTCCTTGGATCTTACACCTGCACCTCCAAAAATGTAATATATCTCATCCAGTGCAGTAAATGCTGTGATGGAAAATATGTAGGAGAAACCAAACAACAACTGCGCACCAGAATGAATGCACACTGAAAATACAAAAGACAAAAATACCCAATTACCTCTGGGTGCACACTTCTCACAAGACAACTACTCTCTCTCTCCTCGAACTCTCAGTTCTCAAGGGGAATTTACAAAACACCTTTTGTAGATGAGCCTACGAACTTCACTTCATAAATCTACTGGATACAAAAAATCATGGACTAAATACAGACAGGGTACTTACAGCACATTATAATCTGCCTAACATCCGATAACCCCAGGTAACCCACCTGCATTTAACCAGCTACATTCTATCACCAGTTCAACATTCCCCTTTTTTCTTCCCCACCTAAATGTCTCACACCAATTGTCTCCCATTCCCTCTGATGCTCACTGCATTTTCACAGACCTGCATTTTGTATATTGGCTTCTATTCTACCCAGGAGAGCACACAAAGCATCAGGCAGACTTCCCCTATGCCTGAAGAAGGGTGTTTGTACCCAAAAGCTTGCAAAGAACAATTTTTCCAACTATTTAGTTGGCCTAATAAAAGATATCACATCTACCCAAAGAACCATGTCTGCCTACCTGCAACCAACAACCCTAAATTATTAAAACAGAGAACACCTATGTAACACTTTCCCTTGCTAACTGTCAGAGTCTCTTTTGAGGTTTATTTTGCTAATGCAGCTCCTGGGAACTAACTCCTTTGTCCTTTATTTGGAGATATCACATAGGCCCCATAAGCTCAGAAGTAGTATCTGAAAACTCTGACAAAGTGTCACTGCCTGAACTACTTCCCACATGATGCCTCTACTTTGCACGGATGGAGCCAAACTTGTGCCTCAGATGAATGTCTGACACAGAGTGAAACAAGGGTTTTATAAATTCAATTGGTCTTTTACACACTAGGCAGGCCAAGCTTTGTTACATACAAAGTTAGCAGGAATCACAATAAAATCATGTCTGAATAGTTACACATGACTACAAGGTAAGCAGAAACAGGGACTTTATCTCTTTCTGTTTTTGTAGCCATAATATCTACACTTTTAAATGCTGCTTTTTAACTACTACTTGATAATATCTCCTTTTAATTGACACCTTTCATCAGATTATCTCAAAGTCCTATACAAGCAATTCATTGCCTTCAGAGTGACATTGGGAGATGGCTATTGTTATCATCATGTTACAAAGGGAAAAAGAACTAACACAGAAGTTGACAATAAGAAAGGGAGACAAAGGACGAGCCTTTGAAGTCCTGATGGTAGTTTCCAGTTATCACTCAGTATGGGGTCCATAGGCAACACGTAAGTGCTGACTGTGGGGAGGCATAATTCCATCCCACCACTGCCGCCACCACCACTACCAGGCATTAGGTCTGACCAGGCTGTAGCCCCACACCCCACCACTGGCGCAAAAATTGGACCACCACCACCACTGCTCCTGGGCCTGGCTCTGGCCAGGCTGCAGCCCTGTGCCCTGCACCCTGCTTTTGGCACAGAAATCTGGAGGGGGGGGCACATGCCCCCCATGCCCTCGACACGTCACCTGTGATGGGGTCCCACCTCCCCTCCTTTGATCACAAAATGACTTAGAGATTACCACTTAAAAAAGAAGTGTGACAAGTACCTTTATTTTCATCTGTTGCTTTCATATGATTTTCGCTATCATCCATGTAACCTAAAGATGAGTCAACAAGAAACTTACTTCAGCTAAACGAATGAACGATGTCTTTTTGGTTGAAATACAACAGAAATCTTCAACAGTCACAATATTTAAACAATTCATCATTTAGGGGAAACTCTGCCTTTGGACAGCTATCCAAGCCATTCACAGACTACAGAAGGGCAACATCTGGTCTGTTAAAATGATCAGTTAAGGCTAAAGGAAACAAAGAAATAACTTTGTTTGCCTCAAGTGATTTTTTCACAAGATGAGAATTTACCCCTTTTAGGGATGTTGGAGTTGGGGGCAATAAATAGTTGTGGAGATCAGCAGTCACTGGGGAGACAGAAATCCTACCAACTCTTTACCCTGCCCGTGTAAGTCAAAATGACCTGCACATGTTTAATGCTGGTACCTGCCAAAGTTTGGAAAAGAATAACAAGAGAAAACGCTTTTCCAGTGTGGAAGCAACACGAGTAGTGGCTACAATAGAAGCACGGAACATCAAGACCCAGGGATTTTATTGCCCACAACCTTTGTGTTTCAGTTCCTCCTTCTGCAGAATGAAAATGCTGTGTTAATTTTTGTAAAATGTTTTAAGATCCTGGGAGAGGAGGTGCTTCATAAATACAACATCATACTAATGGCATCATCATCGTTACTAGTTCTACTTTTAGTCTGAATGTACAGCTGGATGCCATGAACTCCCCAATCTCAGTTCTGATGTTATACTTTTCTGTGGCCTTGATGATGCTCTCAAACACAAGACCTAACTGTACTGGCCCTCTTGTCTGTAAAATGGGACAACTGCTTATCAGAGAGAAAGCGTTGGGAAAATTAATGTTCATGTGCTCAATGAAGGTGCTTAGGAAGAATATTTACAGAAAGACACCAATATTTTTGAGAAAACTGCATCATAGTGGTATATTCCCTCAATTACAAATTAGGCCCTGAGTATACCACAGAAACTCAAAACATGAGGTTCCTTATGTATTAAACAAACATGCTATTAGAGTGCATAAAAATATACCAGGATAGTATTGCCCATCACTGTTCTGTCTCGGTTCCAGTTTCACACCAGCTGAATTAGTGACTCCTGCAGATCTAAAAAGAAAGTGATCAACAAAAATGGATGTTACTAAGGAAAACTGTCTGTAAAAGTCAATACAAACAATAATTTGAAAATATGAAAGACTAAGCTGAAAGCCAAAATTTTATTATCTGTTGAAGTAATGGAAGTTTTGCTTTTGTGTTCAATAGGAACACAAGCAAACCCCAGTGTCAATATCTACATCATCTTTTTTCTACTATGTTCATATAAGGCTTCAATTTTATTTTAATTTTGTATTTCAATGCATCCAACTCTAGGCCTGCCATTCCTATTTGTATTAGTTGGCCTTTTTCTATTTTGGATTATTTCCTCATCCTGTTGTTGTTTCTTAGCAGGTGGTCTGCAGCAAATAGTCACAACCATCTATTGTCTCCAGGTGTGAAACATCATAAATGGTAGAAAGATATGCCCCAGCACTTCACTTGGAAACATTTCCCTATTGTCAGTAAGAAAGCCATCTTACCCAGACATCTCGATGGAAGGATGTTTAGCTTGAAAAGGGAAAATAAAAGAAGATCTGTTAACATACTGCACAAGTATACTACATAAGAAATTAAAATGAAGGCAACACATGGTGACCTACCCCTGAGTGAAACTAATTTCTGGTGCCTGTAGCGAAGTTTTGCATCTTATTATAGTGGATGTAGAAACTGCTGGGCAGTGAAGTCCTCTAGTCACAAAACAGAGACTGAACTGGCAGTTCCAGCACAAGCTTTCTCACATTCCTATCAGGATCTAGCGTTACTTCCACAGAGAACGGACAGCTCAGCATCTATGACTTATTCAAATCCTTGGCTGTCAGCTAGGTTGCTAAATGTAATAGTTTCCATGATGCTGACTGAAAAGCTTTCTAACTATAACATCTGTTTGCCATGGGCTGGTATGGCCTTGGACCAAAACTAATCACCTGGTGCTTTCTTGCAGGGGTGCTATGATCTACTCAACACCTCAGGCAGCCTAATGTAAGGATGTCTGGAAAATTTCCTAGATATGTAGTTCATCATGTGGATTTAAGCAAGCCTTCTTTATTTTCTACAAGGACTAAAGAGTAGCGTAATGGTAATGGACCCAATCACAAGGTCACTACTCAGCCATATAACTAATAATTAAGTGAATGGGAATGGTGTTTCAGTGAGGAGTGAATAAAAACTGCATAAGAACCTTAAGAATTTGCTCAATGAGAATTAAAAAAGAGTATGAGCACTCCTCATACAAAGATTCAGTGACATGGAATTTAATTCTCCCTAAAGGGTTAAACCAAAATTGCAGAGCCAAACAGCTCTGAAGCTGTTTGGCTCAAACACCATATTATGGCAGTTTGAAATCCAGATCTGGATTTGCAGGTGATATAACTTGGGCCTCACTCAATTAATGTTTTTCTTACAAGTACCTTCCCACCAGTAGGACTCATAGTTGGACTTTAACCTCACAGATTGTTTGAAAAGCTGCCGAAGGCTCAAACTCTGGTCCGAGTCATTAACCATTTTTTTTCCACCTTGTATCTCCCAATTGTGGCATTTTTTAGTTGGCTCTGCAGGTATTTTAAGCACCTAATGGCTAGACTGTATATGAGATCTCATTTTGGAACACAGCCTTTACAGGTATCGGAGCTCGTCCACAGTTTTTACAAGATCCCACTATCATATCCCAGGTTAGCAGGACACTTCTTCAAGTGGCAGCCCTACAAGGGGGAATCTCACTCCATCTCAATCCCTCTTTTCCTCACGTAAAAATATGCTTTAAAACCTCCCTTCCTCCCAAAATACATTTTTTGCAGCAACAATTTCTGGATCCACATTTTTTACCTTCCCATCCCTGGCAGCTAAACCTTCACATTTATTCTGTACATGCAGCACTCAAGAATAGAAGAAAATTGTTTTTACCCTTTCTCTTCTTCCATAAGTACCAACAGCAACCACCGCAACCCAGTATGACAATAATGACTAGGACGAATAATGCAATAAGCACTTTCTGCCAGGAAGCCAGGATGACTGAAAATGGAGAGAGAGAGAATGTGAAGACACAGACAGCGGTAGGAAGTCACTACTGGCTTTTAAAATTCCTACATCCTCTTTAAAAGTATCTAGTGCTTGGGAGCGTGCATCCAGACAGCCCTGGAGCCTTTGGCTTGTGCATCTTGCCTGCTGCCATAAATTGCTCTCCCTGGCTGATAGCTAGAAGGGCAAAAGAATCACAACAGACCAACTTTGGCAGCATCCAGCACAGCATAAATATGATGTGCTGTATGGGCGCAGCCATATCTTACCATTAATAGATATTACATCGCTTCGCTGGACTATGTTGGTTGGGTTGGAGGCTTCACAAAAATATTCTCCTGAGTCCTGCTTACTCCATGTTTCCTTATACCAAATGACCTCGGTGTCCATTTTTGTATCTTCAGATATGGGTTTTCTGTTATTCTGTTTTAAAAGTTTGAAATTAATTGGCAAAGATCCTGTTTCCACATAGCAGCGAAAGCTGATACCTTTGCCGTCTTCCACTTCCCTTTTGGGCACACTGATGAGATTTACTTTCCCAACAGGGGCTGCAGAATAAGGCACAAGGAAAAGAATTACCCATAAGTTATGAAATGCTACTCTAGAAATGCTTTTTTAAGTGCCAGTTTACCTTAGCGCCAAAGAGAGGTTTGCCTTTGGAACCTTAATTCAGCTCCTTAGTGTGCCTACATTATGATAGCCTTCAATGACATGACTGAACCACTATTCCACGGAGACCCTGTCTCTACAATGCACCAAGTGAACATTACTTACTGAATGTAATCAATGTATTCACTATTTCTCTCAATGTGTGACTCCATGTTTTAGTGAATATATGCTGTCCATATACTGAATCATTAATTTCTTCCTGGACTTCACAAACATTATTAGCAAGTTGATCTTTATAGTTGGCATTATCTCCATTTTACAGATGGGAAATTAAGATAGAGAGAAATTAAGACCCAAACTATCAAAAGTCCACCAGTCTGGGGTGCCCAATTACAGACCTCTAAAGACACAATTTCTCAAAGCATTTGGCATTTTCCTAGTCTGGTATTTGTTCAGAGCATACTTTCTACTAACTTCTGTTGCAGTTGTGAGAGTTCAGCACTTCTACAGATCAAGCCCCAGGTGTCTCAAATTCCCATTCAGAACATGAGATGCACACAAAAGGCCATCCTTGCCCAAGATCATACATGAACTCTGTGACAGAGGTAGGCATGCAATTTAGTTCTCCTGTGTGACACTCAACTGCCTTAGATCACGCGACTGGCCTTGAGCCTTCTGCAGTTCTTTGCCTCATTCACTGCAGGCTTCCCAACTTCTGCAATAAATGAGGCAGAAAAGAACCTGGTGAGGGGTCTGCGGGTGCTTGACCACCTGGGTGACACCGATCATCGCCTGCTGGAATTCACCATCCAGCACAAGGTGGCAAAGGCCTGTAGCAAGGCAGCAGCCCTGGACTTCAGCAGGGCAGATTTCAATGAGGTAAGGAGAACAGCCAGGGAGGCACAGGTCCCGGAGGGGAGAGGAGTCTGGTGTCCAAGAAGAGTGGTCGTTCCTTAAGGAGATGATCCTCCAAGCCCAAAGGGAGGTAAAAAGCATACGGGAACGTCTCCTAGCTAAAAAGGAGGTGTACACCCAATAGAAGGGAGGGGCCATCGCTAGGGAGGACTATACCTCAGTTGCTTGGGGCTGCAGGGGGGTGGTCAGGAAGGCCAAGGCGGAGATGGAACTGGGACTAGCGACCCGGATCAAGGACAACAAGTCTTTTTTTAAATACATAAGGGGTAAAAAGAAGGTACCGGGTAATGCGGGGCCTCTGCAAGACACGCTAGGAAATCTGGTTGTCACACCAGACAGCAAAGCTAACCTATTTAACAATTTCTTTGCCTCCATTTTTCTAAGCAGGGACCGGGACCGGGTCACCCCCCGCCGGGGTGGCGCACCCAGACCTAGGGTCAGAGAGGACCTAGTCAGGGAACTTCTGGAGGGACTGAGTGTATTTAAATCAGCAGGTCCTGATGATCTCCACCCCAGAGTGCTGAGGGAATTAGCAGAGGTCATTGCAGGACCCCTGGCACTCATGGTGCTCTGGTGTGGTGCCAGAGGACTGGAAAAGGGCCAATGTGGTTTCCATTTTCAAAAAAGGGAGGAAGGAGGACCCAGGAAACTATAAGCCAGTCGGTTTTACCTCAATCCTGGGAAGCTTTTTGAGAGAATTATCCTGGCGCATGTCTGCGAGGGGCCAGCAGGGGAGATTATGCTTAGGGGCAACCAACACGGGTTCATTAGAGGCAGGTCCTGTCAGACCAACCTGGTGGCCTTCTATGACCAGGTCACAAAATCCTTAGAAGAAGGTGTAGCAGTGGATGTAGTCTTTCTGGACTTTAGGAAGGCCTTGACGCTGTCTCTCACCCCATTCTCATTAAAACACTA